GCCTTCAACCTCTTCTTTTCCATTTCATACACCTTCATACAATCATTTTTACTTATAAGGCGTGATATTTTTTCCCAACCAGGTGTCGCATATTTTAGCAAATTATTAAATCCCTCTTGCTTGATAACTTTGAATGGGTGTATAAGCACCCATTGCGCTACTAGTTCCCTCATCCGAGCCATCTCAAACTTCCCACCTATAAGAGGAGGTAGCGAACTACCTATTGCCATTACATTTGCAGTTGGAAAGTTCAACTGTTGTTATTGATTATTGAAAATCCTTCGCCTTAGACACCCCTTCAAATGTTTAGCAAATTGAGTTGTGCTTCCAGTTGCATTAATGGACAATTTGGCCTTGTAATGGATGTATTTTGCCTTCTTCATATTGTCAGGTTGAAGAACCTCTCTAAATTCTGCCCATACAAGAGATGTCTTCGCTCTTTTCTTCCTTTGGAATTGGTTATCAACATCATCATTTTCTTCTTCAACAGCTGAACTAGTACCAGAAGTTGCACTTACAGTTGGATCCGGATAACTTCTTGGGGTTTGAGCTGGTGAACTTGAGGCAATCAACGTGGGTCAGCTACTAGATGAGCCTTCCATACCTATAATGGAAGAATAAAGAAACTATTAGCATTTGTATGAAATATAAAAATCAAGCACCTATATATATAATTGAATGCATTTCAACCTATTAAAGTACAAGAATAGTGTGACTATGTGAGTGTAACTACGTAACGCGACTGATAGTGATAGGAACCCTAATTGTTTCCACTTCCAGAATACATAAATTCACTTAAAGATGTAATAAACATATACAACCTTTGTTTAAATAATTAAAAAAGATTACTTGATAAACATGCCGATTATTATATCAGCTTATATGAAATAATTTGTATAAATAGTTTATATACGTAGTATCACTCAATTAATTAATATTGAGCTGCAAGATCAACAAATTTAGTGCACAATATTCTATGAAACAAGCTCTATTTATTAGTAGAACAATCTGCCAAACCCAATATTTATGTAAATTTTATGCAATAATGGGAAAGAATGTCTCAGGTCTTACACTAACTTTTATTAAAAGGTGTTGATTGATACTGCTAAAGTTGTAGTACCTATATGGTTTTAATGAAGGTTCGCCAGCATTCTAGAAAACCTGATCTATGTTTCTGTAAACACAATAGCCAATAATTCATCACTAGTAAATACACATTCAAGAAAACTGCAATGCATGGGATGGGTCATTCACATAACGCATCTCTGAAGGCTTATTTTTCATCTCCTAGTATAGACACTTATGAAATAATTGTAAAATGTCAATATGATAAACTTAGTGAAAGATACTAAACTAACATGATAGCAATAAGATTAAGTGGGTAGCTAAGTACATACAAATGCAAACCAGATCAAGCAAGGCATGCCTAATTCATAACTTCCACAAAAAACAACACACAATGAGTACAACTAATTTAACATAATGAGCAAAACAAATTAATAAGTAAGATGAGAACCCCAATTGTACAACTTAAGAAGATGGCTAGAAACAAAATGCCATGCAACAATGACATAAAGACAAGATGAAGTATAAATGTCAAAGATATCTTATAAATCACTGCACGATATTTATAAGATTTCCAATACTGCCATACCTAGTTCATCAGGGATCTAACAAATAACTAGACATAATAGTAAGCTATCGCAGACAAGAAATCTCTGGTAAATAGATAACCAAGGACCATAACCTCAGGCTCCATCACCCTTACGCATTCTTAATTACCCAAAATAACTTATATGTAAGACTATTAAAATTGTAAGTATAATTTTAACCAATTCCTCTTCATTTATGGTTTAAGTATTTTTAAGTTTTAAGATTGTGTGAGGTCAAAGTCTATACAAAATAACATTTTCTTTACAATCTCATCAATTATTATTTGAAGTCCAAATTGCATGAAAGTTTGGTTCCTAATAATGGGCGAAGACTAGGAAATAAATAGAAGAAAAAATATTACCTACAACATTCAACATTCAACATGATATCTGATATTAATCTTGAGAACAATAACTATTGCAATTTATGTAATTACCTAGAACCAAATCACTGGTTAGGAGCTTTAGCACGATGGAGATGACGATGATAGCGAATGGCATTGGAGAAGTTGTCGACGACGGTGGCGTGACTCGTGAGTGACTAATTTACAAAATGGCAGCGAATGAGATGTTTGGGTATTTTAGAGCTAAGGAAGCGATTGAACTATTGGACAGTGGAGATGACTGTGACGGTGAATGGCAGTGGCTGAGTCGTCTTCGGCGACGGCATGGGGGAGCGATGGGAATTAGAGTTAAGGTTGAATGAAAAATCCCAAATGGATTTATCGTTTTTGTTTGAACTGTGAATGGGTGTTGTTTGTCATTTTTACAACTTAAAAATAAAACAAAGTTTGAAATCTTGCAAATTGGCCCTTAGAACTCGTTTAAGCTCGTGAGCCTGACGAGCCGAGCTCAGCTCAGATCAAACTCGGCTCGATACTGTTCATGAGCCACTCGAGCTCGAGCTCGACTGGCTTCAAGTTGAATTTGAGCTTCCAACGAGCCAAGCTCGAATAGCTTGCGAGCTACTCGACTCGTGTCTCATCCCTACCAATGATGACTATGGTAGGCAGGGGTGGCAACAACATAGGTTGTGGTTGGGGTGAAATAAGTGTCGATGAGTGAGATTATCCGACCGTGGAAGTGAGCACTTGAGCAAGAGGAACCTGCTGGTGTGGTGGTGGGTAAAGGAAACTGCCCATGGAGAGGGAGAAGGAGGGTAGGGAGATCGTCGGCCTAACAACTGAGGAAGTAGAGTTGACCGAGAAGAGGATGCCAAAAGTGGTGGTAGTCACGGCTGAAGTGGTGGACTGTGATGAATCTGCCATGAGAAAAAAAATAGGCTTCAAGAAGGCAAAACAAGAAATCAGCTGGAGCGTTGCTAGAGCACAGTTGACTGCTGAGAAGAGCAAGCAGATCTACAAAAAAAAATCACGAAAAAGACAAAGGTGAAGAAGAGAACAGTGGCTGGCGTTGATCGAAAAATGATCAGAGAAAAGGAGAGAGTCGTCGCTGGGGCCGAGGAAGCTGAACAGTCGCCGGAGTTGAGGAAGCTGGGTAGTGTGATCTGGAGAGAAAAAATTGCCGGGGTGACTTTGCAAGATCGCAAAGTTAAGGGGAAGCGACTACAAGAAGAAAAAGATAAAACCCTATATGCACGGGGGAAACTATCAGCTTTCAAAGATTTAGGACCCAAGAGCAATTACTGCTCTGATACCATGAAGAATTGTATAAAGAGTAATGCTATATGTACAAATAATTGTTACAAAGATTTATGTACAGACTGATGTGACAGAAAACAAATGGAAGAGTGAGTACAAAAAGTCAAACTCATCATATTCACTCTTCCATTCATTTTCTGCCACATTAGTTTGTATACAAATCTTTGTAAGATTTGTTTGTATATCTAGCATTATTATTATATAAATGATTGTATATTCAATATTAATAAAAGTGTACAATATATAGGTTCAACATATTCTATACAAGGAAATACAATCATTCTAATAATGAAATTAATCAAAACTATAAGAAAATACAATCATCCTAATAATGAAGTTAATAAAAAATATAAGGAAAGATAATATTATAATAATAATGATAATAAGGAAATAAAATGATTTTATTCCTTAATACTGCCATCTTGTTAACAGAGAAATTGTGTCAAATCTGCTCAAGTTAGGTCACATCTAGATTTCAAGTTTTTCACTTTAATAATTGTGAAATCGTCTGTATATTCCTTCCCAAAGTCATTTTAAGGGTTTTCTACATTGTAAACATGTTAGGAGCATCATTTGACCTTTGATATTAAATATTGTGAGAAATGGTAAAGCAAATACAATAGGGCAAAGTAAAGCTATTTTATGAGATTGGAAGGGAAAAAAATTAATAGCATTTGAAGCAAGGTATACAAGAGAGTGAAAGAAGAAAGTCATTATCCTTATTCTTTAAACACTTTTACTTTTGTGGACTATCTGCTTTCTCAACCTCCACTTTATTCTTTTCTCTGCTTAGATTTGATTACCCATTCGAATCTTTTATTTTTATCTCCATTGAGAAACTCAAAAATAATGAGATGTGATTCCATGCCAACGTTCCTCACACTTAACCTCTACGTGGAACTTTCATCAACCAATCTCAAGTTACAAAGGCTTATTAGTTTTCAAGTCAACATATAACTCTGTTCCTGCATTGAAATGCAACCGCTTGTATTCTCAGCGTCTTAAATGGAGAGTGCTTCACAGGTGTGAAAGTTTTGTTCCTAATTGTCGCCGTGATGTACGCTAAAAAAATTTGGAATGGTTTTACACCACTTTGAGCATTCACGCGTAAACTTAAAATATATGCCCACTCAACTTCTCTACTGTAGTCTGTAGAGGAAAATATGGGGCAGGTGGGCAGGTTTATCATCCTCCTATTCTGTGTTCTGACAAATCAGTTAAAATTATTTTCACTGATTCATGGAATAACTAAACGCAGAAAATAATGCTGTCGGTCTGCATAAAAAAATAAAAAAGAATACAGTCCAATAAATGTACACGCTAAAGAGAATAACCACACTGTTTTCGAAACTCTATTACTAATTTTGGTAAATCATTAAATCCTGTATTCTGTTCTGACGTTATACTGACACCATACTGGGAAAAATCTACAAAGTAATTGTAATATTATCGGGGATATCGACGGCCGTAATGCAATTGGGACTGTTCTTCCTTATTTAATAGACAAAGTAACCCCATACTTTTGCTGGAGTAAAGCAGTTGAGCCACAAAAAGAAGGGCAGTTTGGGTTTTTAACTGCCCCTAATTGAATGGAGCCAGCAAATGCACCAAATATTGGTGAGTAATGAAGGGAGTAAATATAATAGCACTGTCAACAACTATAATTACTCGTTTTTAGTGAAACTACAACCCTATATAAGCAGCTACAAAATACAATCTCAGAAGCTAAGAATACAGAACAATTCAGTTTTTATTCAAAAACTAAGAAGACAAAATGAAGCACCGGAGTCTGTTGGTTTTCTTCATCTTTCTGTTGATCCAAGAACAGGGGATATTCGTTCAAGTGAAAGCAGAGGATGGGTTCATCAGAACAAAAGGAGTGCATTTGATATTGAATGGAAGCCCATTTTATGCAAATGGATTTAATGCATACTGGCTCATGAACCTTGGAGCTAATCCATATCTTAAAAGCAAAGTTTCATCTGTACTTCAAGAAGCTAGGGACCATGGCCTCTCAATGGCAAGAACTTGGGCTTTCAGTGATGGTGGTGATAGCCCTCTACAGTATTCTCCGGGTTCATATAATGAACAAATGTTCCAGGTAACAACTTTATATTTCTGTTATCTTTTTCCTGTTATGTTTTTAACCCAGTACACTATCCATGGCGTTATTTTTTTGTTTGGTTTTATTTTGTTAATGGTCTTGGTTTTTTACTTTTCTGGTTCAAAGGGATTGGATTTTGTAATATCAGAAGCTCAAAAATATGGGATTAAGTTGGTGTTGAGTTTGGTGAATAACTATGACGAACTTGGGGGCAAGAAACAGTATGTGAACTGGGCAAGAAGTCAGGGGCAATCCATTTCATCTGATGATGATTTCTTTACAAACTCTGTCGTGAAGCAATACTACAAGAATCATATCAAGGTGAGCCATTGTTAATAACATCTCTGAGGATCATTGATCTTGTTTCTGCAATCATTCTGCATTTCATTTTTCTCTACATAGTCCTATAAAATATATTGGATTTATTTTCCTTCCCATGCGAGGTGATAAGTTTTTGCATTACTTTGCGAGTTGACAAAGGGTAGATAAACCTTTCCAGCATCACTTATAGAATTGTAGTTAGATATTTCTGAATGGTTTAATGTGAAGAAACGGATTTGGTAGTTTATATTGCATTGAATTTACAGGATCAAAATTTGTTTATTTAATTGATAAAGTTTCTCAACTTTTGTACTAGACTGTACTTACAAGAAGAAACACCGTGACTGGAGTTGCTTACAAAGATGAGCCAACAATAATGGCTTGGGAGCTTATGAATGAGCCAAGATGCAAAACAGATCCATCAGGAAAAACCATTCAGGTCACCAGAGAATCCTCCTTACCTCTTTCATATTTGATGAATTTTACATTTGTTCTAGACTTCATTTCTATAACAAAATTTCTTAATATTAATGTCAACGGCTGCTTATAAAAGTGGAGTAGGTTTTACTTGTAAAATTATGGAGAGAAAAGCTGTAGCAAGCATACTTTGGTCATCTGTAAAAGTAAGAATTGACTAGTATACTGAACTACAGAAGCGGCATTTAATTTCTCAACTAATATTTTATCTGCCTCACAAATTAGGCCGGCCGATTAGTAAGTAGAGTTTGTAGCTCAGATAAATGTGGCTTTGAAATTGATGGCTATGGCTTCTCACTCGTGAATACAATCTAATACAGTGGAGGCAACTGAAGGAAAAAGTAAATAAAAAACAAATCCTATTTTGATTGTATTTATATTTATATTTGTTTAACAGGATTGGATTACGGAGATGGCTTCTTTCTTGAAATCCATTGATGGAAATCACTTACTCGAAGTTGGTTTGGAAGGTTTCTATGGACCATCATCATCTGAGAAGCAGCAATACAATCCAAATTTTCAAGTGGGAACGGATTTCATTACAAATAATCAAATTCCTGGCATTGACTTCGCTACAGTTCACTCATATCCTGATCAATGGTAGTTTATCAGTATAACTTTTTATTTTAATAAATAGAAATATACCGATCAGCTCCCTTTCTTATAAATGAGTCAACTTTTTTATGGACAGGCTTTCCGGCTCAAGTGAAGAAAGCCAACTTTCATTTTTGAACAATTGGCTCAACATTCATATCCAAGATGCGCAGAACATTCTTCAGAAGCCAGTTATCTTGGCAGAGTTCGGAAAATCTTTGAGAACTTCTAGTGTTAACCAAAGGGACCAGATTTTTAATATAGTTTACTCGGCAGCTTATTCGTCTGCTAGGGGTGGAGGTGCAGCTGTTGGTAGCATGTTCTGGCAACTTTTAGCCGAAGGAATGGATTCTTACGGAGATGGGTATGAAGTGATCTTCAGCAAGAACCCATCGACAGCAGGCATCATTATTGACCAATCTCAAAAGCTGAATAAGATTCGAAAGATGTTCTTGAGGCTGAGAAACATTGAGAAGTGGAAGAAAGCCAGGAATATTGGAAGGGCTGGGAAGGGTGGCAGTAGTAATGGAAACTGAGAAATTGGAGATAGTAGTGGACTGTGGACATAGTATATAGTGGTAAAATCATAATAAAAATGTTGAAGGATTATTTGTGTTTTACTGTATATTTGTCTTCACAAAGAGAAATTCTCTCTTAGAAATGAAAAGCTATTAATTAATCCAGGCAAAGTCTGAGTAATAGAGCTCTGTGATTTATTAATGGTTTTGTGGGTAATTAAGCTTTGTATTTAATCTTAGCTATGACACTTCTCACTAGTGGATAAATATAGCACTTGCATTTATTTAGGAACTACAATAAAATACTTTTTGCAAGCTCTTTTACATTGAAGGAACATGCAATTTACAAACAAAAACGTCAGTACTACGTTTTCACTGTAAATTAGTGAGGGGCAGCAGCAGACCAAATCTTCTCAGTTACGACTGAGAGCTTGATCTGCACAAGCAGCTCTAGGAAGCCTTCACAGATTTTAAATAACTGTTCCATCGTTAATTGTTGCATTCTTCAGAATGACACTGATCCCAGACCTTATGTAAAATCCTTCATTTGGTCTCTCGGCTTCTTCAACGCCCTAAGAAGTTAAAGCATTTCGTTAACAATTTAGGTACATGATAGTGAACCAAAATATAAAATACTAATATCTAGTAATTTGGATTGTTAAAAGTTATCTTATAAGATTCAGCAGACAAATTTATACTTACATCACCATTTGCGATAATGACATTTTTTCCAATCTTGGCATTCTTGTCAATGATGCAATTCCTTCAAAAAGAAAAAGAAAAAAAGAAATATAATTCTATTAGTTGGACATCCCATCAATTTTATAGAACAATAAACAAATATATGAATGATTTCCAAGGTTGTGAGGAATCAATGACCATATAATCTGGGAATGTGAAATTAGTCATTTCTCATCTGACCCCTGGTGCATTTCTGCATTTGTGTTGTGTGTTCGTAGAGAGAGAGAGAGAATTAATTGAACACTCACTTGATTTTTGTATTCTGTCCAACACCAATTGGAACCTTTCCTTCCGCAAGCAGAGATGCAATTTCAGATTCAGTTTGGTAGTAGTCTGCACCCATCATCATAGTATCCTGGACAGACATATATTCCAGGTAAAAGTAGAGTTAGATAATTATTCAAATATAATAATGCAACAGCCCTGTTAGCGGCAAAGTTAAATGTAATGTTAATTCAAACTAATGTAGTCTAGAACTCTGTAAGTGGCCTTGCCTTGAATATAGTACAACAGAAAGGTTAGCCTACAAGCATTGGCATATGGAAGCCTGATTTCACAATCAGTTCAAGTTTCTCACAGAAGATGCAGGGAAAACGTAAAAGATAAATCATAGCTCACCTGAAGCTCAACTCCTGACTCTAAACGTGAGCGCACACCCACAATGGAGTGCTGCACACTGCAATCTCGCAAGAAGCAACCATGTGAAATTATGGCATCCACAATCTGCAACAATCAACTGAGCTATGAGATGCAACAGCCAAATGAAATGCCACAGTAATATAAGTTAACAATCATACCCTGCATTTATCGACTTTTGTTGGTGGTAAGAATCTAGGAGAAGTGAAGAAAGGCGTCTTGGGATCATAAAATTCAAACTTTGGGGGCTGCAAAAGGAAGCTATGTGATTAGTTTAAAGAATCATGACCCCTTTGCTGAAAGTAAACTAAAATTTCTGTTGCGAGAGGGCTACCACCCTTTGTCTAGCTCCCTGATACTTTATGATAAAATATTTCAAAGTGAAATAAACAACAAAAAGATAATCTTTCTTACAGGCAGAGCTGACATGAGTCTCTGCCTAAAAAATTAGTAGTCTAATTATTTTCATTTTTGTTAGCTAGCATAAAAGTTTTCCCCAATTTGCACAACTTTGTAGTTATCACATGTTTCTTGATAATTTTACAACACAAAGTTACTCCATGTGCCTGATTATAGATTTGATCCTTGTGTTAAAAGATTTAAACTGTGGAAAGAATCATAAGTTCAGAGACAAAGATTTGAGTCAAAGTAATATCAACCTGCTCTGTGAGGGCCAAGTTGGCATCAAAAAAGGATTTTATGGTTCCAATGTCTTCCCAGTAGTCATTGAATAAATATGCCTGGCAATGTGAAACACTCCAAAAGCTCAGCAGCTTGATCACCATATTAAAGGATAGCTCACACATAGAATAAACCCTTTGGGATAAAAATATAAGGGAAAAAAATTATTGGAGGGTCCAAATTTGAGGAGTATCTCACCTGGACATTGTGGTGCTTAACAGCAGACGGAATTATCTCAGAGCCAAAGTCATTGCATGAGGGGTAGCTCCATTTGAGAAGCTTTAGCAGGACATCAGTTCTAAACAAGTAAACACCCATTGATGCAATATATGGTAATTTGACAGCTTCCTTGATGGATAACCCAAGAACAGTGGTATCAACTTGCTGCAGTCAAATGTTCGATAACAGGACCCAAGATTAGACAGAAAGCAAAGGATGATGGATCTTTATAGTATCTGGAAAAGAAGGATACTGAGCAAGAGAGAGTAAAGAAAATCTTGATCAACAATAATATGATATCTATTATTTACCATTGCTTTCAGGTCAGGGCCCTTAGGTTTCTCTGAGAATTGGATGATACGCCCTGTGCTGTCAATCTTCATCAGTCCATAATCAGACGCACGGCTGCAAGACAATAAGATTGAGATAGACTTAAAAACTCACAGTCAAGCATCTATCCATACTTTCGTGAAATTAACAGTGGAAACAACTACTTTTTCGCTAGAAGAATGACTTCATCTTCACTAAAGAAGTCAGAATGATGCAGAAGAACCTAAATAGAGGATTTTTATTAAGAGACTGGAAATGGATTTTGTTTCCTAATTATTCATAAGTAAGTTGGTGATATCCGTATAATAATCATAAATATTGAATGCTTTTACAAGCAATATCACAAAATGACAATAAAACACATTAAGACATACCTGTCATCCATTGGCACACAGGATACAGTAATATCAGCACCACTATCAATATGCTTCTGCAAGCAAAATGTGATTGATCAGCAGGCTTTTTTTGTTTTCAAACTCCAAATTATAAATAAAGGTATGCAATACTCTATCTGCAAGACTTTAAATGAGTACCTGCAGAAAATCCCTATAGTCCATCCGATAAAGATGATCACCAGATAAAATCAGTACATGCTCCACATTCTTATTCTTGGCATCCTGCATGAATCAGATAATACCCATTTAGTCCACTTAACCCATACTTTTAATGTGAATTAAAAATTCTAAGCACCCACCTCAAAGACCCATACAAATTGCCTCACAGCATCTGCTGTTCCTTGGAACCACCTCTTCCCTGTTTCTCCAGGTGTTTGAGTGGCAGCTAGAACCTGCTCATCAGGCATATAAGGTTTCATGAAGGACTTCTAAAAATAGAATAATTTAGAAAATAACATGTTTTAATTACAATGATAACTTTATACTATTTGTGATTCATATATACAGCCTTTTACAACAAATGTTAAACTTCAGATTGCTTTGGAGTATAGCTAAATATAAGGAATAGAAATTGGGTGAAATGTTAGCAATATCAAATTATTAATATGCTCTTTCACTAAAATCATCTTACCTCCACAAATCCATCTCCAAAATTCACACCATTTCCAAAATTATAAGTCCGGGCTAAGTGACGATTGAGGGAGAAGGAGTTAAACTGTGTCATGATGAAAATCTTTTTTATACCACTGTTAATGCAGTTACTCATTGGGATGTCTATTAACCTGTAACATCCTCCAATCGGGACCTGCATATCAAATCAAATTATCATAAAATTCAAATAAAAACTGATACAAATCATTCAATTAGCTATGTAACAACTACATTTTCAGAAAATTAAAATTTTGATATAATTAAAAGCAGAAGAAAACATGTTTCAGTAATTTTTACCGCTGGCTTTGCCCTTTTCCCAGTAAGAGGAAACAAACGTGTCCCGGCACCGCCACCCAAAATGATAGAAGCTACCTTTTTTGGATCTGCTTCTTCAGTCTGAAACTGCGGAGCCTCAAATGTCTGAAGCCAAAATTCAAATGCAATGGTAAGTACCATTTCAAGAGGACAAAAACATGAAAACTGAATACTTTGTGCATCACCCTTTAACGAAAACACCCAAAGTGTCAATAAATGAATAATTATAATCTATCTATTTATTCTCTCTTGTATATCAATCTGTTAAAAAGAGAAACTTTTTATCAGTTGAATGTATATAGACATCAGAATAAATGTACTTACCACCTTCTCTTTGTAATATCAGGTGTGAGAACGGAGTAGCAACTCCAGGCTTACCAGCCTGTTTAACTAGCTTTTCTGTTTTCAAGTTCCCACAAATGACAACTCAAATCCCTGCTCTTAAGACTCCCCCTCACACTTTCACCCAAATCCCACTACTTCCATTACTAACAATAGGTGAGCATTTGCCTTCAATGCAACACTGCGGGATCCATTCTTAAACCAGAAAAAAGATTTTTTTTTTTTTTTTTTAAAGAAAAATAAAATAACAAGTGAGATATTCTGTAGAATTCTAACAGGAAGCGAATCTGGAATATGAAATTAAAGGCATCTGGATCTTATAAATCAATGACATGATGATCCCATGAACCGAAGTAAAAATTACTCTGTAAATGGTCCAAAACTTTCACAAACGCAAACTAGACAAATGTTAGCTTAAATACTTATCACAATAAAACACCGAGATCAGTGATCGTTTGGACAACAGGATCAGAAGCACCCGGATTTAAAATACAAATAAATAAATTAAAAAAACAGAAAAGACATGGGCAGTGATTAATGGCCGTGCTGGTTATTGCTGGGAAGGGAAAGAGGAGAGATATTAAATGGTGAGGGAGGTAGTGTGAACCAGTTTTGGTTTATTGGCCTGTGAGCCGTCACGAGAAACAGAGCGATCTTGGATTGATTAATAATACTATTTGATGATATCTGCTTCTTATGCTTTCTTCAGTCTGCAGTTGCTACAGAATTTTATGGCATTTGAACGAGTCCTTTCCAAACTCAAATACCTTTCTATTTCAAGATTACTCTATTCCTAATTTATTTAAAATAGTAATCTTAAAAGCTGAATTTGATTAATAATGTACGAAGCAATCTCCATTAAAAGCGGTACAAGTAGCCAATATGAACCGCCGCGATTGAGTATTTGACTTTGGACTCTCACTTTATTCACAATATTCATATGATCAAATTCCTATTTCTATTATTAGGTAATTGCCAAGTTACACCGCTGTTCGTAAATTTCGTGTTCTAAAATGAGAAAGACATCCGATACAGGTGGGTGATGCTGAACCACAAATTGATATTTTTCAGAGAACCAGCACGTGGCTGTCAGTTTCACACCATCTTTTGTCTTTGTCACCGTGCTTACGTCAGACGAAACATTGTCATTATTCAAAGGAATCACACATACTCTCTGACTCGGGAACTGAAGAATGCTGAGTTCAGTAACCACGTAGAGAAAGAGAAACTGCTAGGTGGAGGTGTGAATCACGGGGGTTTACTTTAATCCTTCAAGAAGACAAAAGAAACCACACGTTTCAGTTTCAGTTTTCACAGCCATTATTTTTCGTTCGCTTCAAGAACTACTGGGAAAGTTGGTTTCATATTCATAATTTAATTTAATGAAAGTGACTGCATTCTTGTCCAATAATGTTACGCCTAATAATTTCCGTACTGTCTTGAGTCACATTGCAACATTTAATCATGTAGGGCCTACCCAACCACAACCACATCTTTTCATTAGACTAGAATCATCAGTATTTATTTAGCAGTTACAATAATGTATATTCAATCAATACGTACAAGGAAAACGCCCACTATAGAGATTAGCTTCTTCGTTTTTGTCGAGTTGACTCAAAACCCAACTGGAGATATTATTTAGTGTCAAAGCCACTCGGAACATAGGAAGAAAATTTAGTTATGTGTCGTGATTGCAATGTATGAACATTTGTTACCAACACGTGGCATGGAATAATGGATTTGTGGATTGCGTTGGAAAATTTGAACGCTTGACTTGATATGTGATTATTGTGAGTATCGTATAAAATGAGAGAACGACCCAAGGTTGGCGAAATGACACTTATTCACCCTTCAAGTTTTAAAACGACACTTTCTCACCCACGTTAGATTCCGTTAGAAAAATCCGTTTTTAAGAAGGGTAAGATGGTCAAGTTATGTAAGCTGCAAAAATCAAAATTTAAAAATTGAAATCTCAATCAGTGTAACTTCGCCTGAATGGTTGCCAAGTGCTCCACTAAAGTTGACCCAGAAAAAAGGGCGAACGAAAAGACATTTGCCTTTTCTCATTTTTCTCTGTAACTAAATCTAAACAGTTGGGGTTGCGACTAGCAACTGGGGTCGTGATGATGACAAGTGGGTCCCGATAAGGAGGAGGAAGGCGGCGCCGTGCCGTCGTAGAGGAGGAAGCCCAAAGAAGTGACGGAGATCGATAACTTGAAGAAGGCATTAGTAGATTCGTTCTATGGGACCGATCGTCGGTTGACGGAGAGTAGCGAAACGAGCAGAAATTGTTGAGCTTATCACACTGCTTGAAGCTAAGAATTCGACTCCCACACTGACTGAGGCGTTAACTTTGCTTAAAGTCAAATGGATTCTTGCGTAAGTGTTTGTTTTGCTGTTTGGTTCTGTGGAAAATTATGGTGAAGGATTGAATTTCGGAGTTTTTAAAATTGGGTATTTTTGTGGTTTTGTTAGTACTTGGGCTAAGTGGAAACTTTGGTTAATTTAGGATGATATAATCACATAGCTTATTTTAGTTGAATTCCACTGCTTTGGAAATGAAAATATGAATGAAATTTTAATCCTTTTTGATAATTTGTTTGTTTATTGCTCATAGGCATATTTATCGCTATAAAATCAGTGATTTGTCGACAATATATTTGGAGGGTTAGAGACTCTCAAGAACTTGGAGTTGTAAAATTGAGATAAAAATTTTGGATGTTCCACTGGTGATCTTATATTCTGTCACGAATATGCTTTGCAACTTCAAAATTGTTATGTTATTAATTGTAATCAACGCCAAAGTCCAAAATTGATATTTCTAAATTGTTGACTCTGCTTTTATATAATCAATTCTACTTTGGTAGTATATATTAGGTGGCTGCAGAACTCTCCAAGAAACTGTGTTAATTCTGATGGCAAAAATTGGTGCTTAAATTTGTGCCTAGCAAGAGGTGGTAGATTTTATTGAGTTGGAACAGAGATGCAGTTGTAGCACCAATAGATGGATTCACGCCTTTCATATTGTGGTCTTGTTGACTGCATTCTTTGTCCAATAATGTTACGCCTAATATAATTTCCGTACTGTTCTGTGAGTCACATTGCAACATTTAATCATGTAAGGCCCTACCCAACCACAACCAGCATCATTTTCAATAGACTAGAGTCGTCAGATATTTATTTTGCAGTTGCAATAATGTATATTTCAATGAATATGTACAAGGAAAACGCCAACGTATAGATTAGCTTTTTTCGTTTTTGTCGAGTTGACTCAAAACCCAACTGGAGATATTATTTAGTGTCAAAGCCACTCGGAACATAGGAAGAAAATTTAATTATGTGTCATGATTGCAATGGATGAAACATTTGTTACCAAACACATGGCATGGAATAATGGGTTTGTGGATTGCGGCGTGGAAAATTTGAATGCTGTGGTTAAGTTTTATAAGTTAATTGTGAATTGTCATATTGAAATTATAAAAAAAGGTTTATGAGAAAAGGTTATGCGTATAACATTACCCTTTTTAAAATATCCATCTCATCTATCAATGGTAGCAATCACAAGTGAGTCAGCGTGTGCGTAGCATCTACAAGCTTGAATGGCAGTAAGCAAAAGGAAAAGGTTGTTTCATTTACGTGTGGACGAGAATGGTAATGAGAGTGAAGCACTTAGACGAGACATCTAATTTCAAACAATCAACTTTCCCAAAAAGTAATGCAGTTGGACAAAAAAGCAGGAAAGTTGACGTGACAGATTCACATGCCATATCTTTAAGAGCAAATGTGTTCCCACCAAGATTTGGCCAAATCTCAAGTTCATACCCCTAATTCTATTTATTCCATATTTTCACCCTTAAACAAACACAGTAAGTTAATTTTAAATTTTGATTTATGCAATTACTATCCTGTCCTTCGTTCTCATTTCACCCCACCCAACCACCATCACCCTCACCATCCAGCCACCCCCACCACCACCTACCAAACTCACTCGATCGCCGTTCAAGCCCAATTTGGCCTGATTCTGACGCCGATTGAGCAACCCAACACCACCATCAAGATCCTCTCATCTCCCTCTCGAAAACCCCTCTCATCTCTAACTGTTTGATGCCACCATTCATCAACCACCGCGATCCCCCACCCCACAGATCCCGCAAAGCACACCCTGGGCGTATTCTGAAATCAGTCCAGGCGCCATCCTTTTTGCCACTTTTCCAGCTTTTTTTCACCCAAAACCACCACCATTTGCCTCCCTAAACCTCCCACATCAAAATTCCAGCCTTTCCTCAATTAAAACCAACCATTCCAACATGGAAAACACCGACCACATCTGGGTTTTTCTAAGCGCTGTGCGATTGTCTCCAGCCGGATTCAGGCTGATTTTGGCTGCCTCAACCCCAAACGACACCACCCTTGCACTCACAAGCATCTACCCTTCAAAACCCCCATCCTTCCCGACCATGATTGCTGGCTGTTCATCGCCGCCACTCAACTTTGGGTTTTGTGAAATTAGTTGAAATGAGAGTTTGATTGGGTCGTGGAACTGATTTTTGATTTAATTTTTTGTTTGATGTTTTAGTTTGACTGTTGTGTGTTGTGGTGAATGTGTTGGGAAAGAAGAAGGGCCGAATATGGTGGTGGTTTGGCTGGCTGGTGTTGGGAAAGAAGAATGGCCGATTGTGGTAGTGGTGGTTTGGTAGAGATGAGAGGTGTTTTCGAGAGGGAGGTGAGAGGATCCTGATGGTGGTGTTAGGTTAGTCAATCGGCGTCGGAATCAGGCCAAATTGGGCTTGAACAGCAATCGAGTAGGTTTGGTGGGTGGTGGTGGTGGCTAGATGGTGGTTGGGTGGGGTGAAATAAGAACGAAGGGCAGGATGGTAATTACATAAATCAAAATTTAAAATTAATTTACCGTGTTAGTTTAATTGTAAGAATATGGAATAAATAAAACCAGTGGTATGAACTTAGGATTTGGCTAAACCTTGGGTGAGAACCTCTCGTTTGCTCCATCTTTAAATTGGATAACTGAAGGCATAAAATTAAATATGGAAGCCTTGGCCCAAAGTAGTTTTTGAGGTCCACCCAAGGCCTTAAATCGGGTCTTCTCAGCCCAANTGCAATGGACAAAACAGCAGGAAAGTTGACGTGACAGATTCACATACCATGTCTTTAAATTGGATAACTGAAGGTATAAAATTAAATATGGAAGCCTTGGCCCAAAGTAGTTTTTGAGGTCCACCCAAGGCCTTAAATCGGGTCTTCTCAGCCCAAGTAGAAAAACGATTCTCGTGTAAATTCGCACAGCCAATCTGTATGTCTATCACTTATCTTGACAAGTAGAATCCTCTCAGTCTCTCCCTCACACAAACACACAGAAAATGGCGCTTAGTTTACCCAACACGTTCCTCCAAATAAAACCATCTACTCCAATTCTTTCCACCAAAAAGGTAACACAACATTTCTTCCTCTAACTTATCCAATTCTGGTTAGTAGTTTAGTTCATCAATGTTCTATTATACAGGTGAAATGCGCACCAGGGGGAAACAATCACAGGACCCAGGTGGTGACGTGTCGAAAGAAGGACATACATCCGGAATTCTACGAGGATGCGAAGGTGTATTGTAATGGTGAGCTGGTAATGACGACGGGTGGGACACGGAAGGAGTATGTGGTGGATGTTTGGTCTGGGAACCATCCGTTCTACTTGGGCGGCCGTTCTGCTCTTGTTGTTGACGCCGACCAAGTGGAGAAGTTCCGTAAGAAGTTTGGAGGATTGGACGAGATAATGGAAATCCCTGTACTTAAGGGTGAGATTGTGCTCCCACCTAAGCGCAAATCTGCTGCCAAAGGAGGCAAGAAGAAGTAGACACAATTACTACATCGTTTTGAGGTAAATGGATTGGGAATTTGGGTGGGCAGTTAGGGTTTTCTTGATTAAGTGCAACTATTTGTGTTTTGGGAATATGTATGATAGTTGTGTTTTGGGAATATGTATGATATGTGTTGATATTAAACAACATTATCATTATTGAATCTTGTAGAAATTGATTATTGTTTTCTTATTATTTATTTTTTTTCTAACTGAGAAATTAATTTTCTGGTTAGTTAGTTAGTTAGTCAGTTCGTAATTTCATAGTTCTAGGCAAAACTAGTTTGATATTGGTTTATGATGAAGGATGGGGAAAAGAAAAAAAAATCATTGAACTTAGTGAAGAAACTCAAATTTAGTGGCATAGACTACATTTTAAGGAACGACTATTGACTAATATGCTATGGTTTATCTTTTGCTTCACTTGGCTATGACAAGCTCTGTGCTTGGCACCTTCCCAATTCCTGCACTGACGATTGATTGCAGTTGTTTGAGCTTGCAAAATTTCCTGACCATGTTTTGCTTTGCATCTGGCGGACTTCTACTTCCACCTGTGGCATTTCTGCATTTCATGAGGTAGTCAGAATCTGTTTATATACTGTTTCTGGCACACACAGGGACCCTAGGTTGTAGAAGAGAAAAGTAGCAAGTAGAAAAAAAGACTACTCACTGATATAGCTTACCTTCGGAAACAAGGAGAATGAGCACGAGGAACAAGAGGGCGCAAGATAGTGGATGATCACTTAGTTTAGCCATATATTATCTGTCTGTTTTCTTAAAGTGGAAGTAGAGACTAGTTTTTTATGCTACAAATTTTGGCTATTTATAACCTGATGCACCATTGTTGTGTATTCATCTTGAAAATAAAACAAGACTCTTGTGAAGAATTAGAAAATCCTCCTCCGAAAAGATAGATAAGCATGAACATGATCAACAAAAAATTGCTGCTCTCCCTCCAAAACTAATTGTGTTTAACACTCTTTCGACTCTATTACAAATTCTAATCGTATTGGCTGGACTTGTAATAGGCCAGAGTGAGCTTTTGACTGACCTCTTTGTGCCTGGAATATGGAGCACTTTGTCTACATTTTCCTGCTTTGGCATTTCTTTCTTTCTTGGTGTTTGGTTGGAAAGTACGCCTCTTTGATGAAGATGGGCAATTGGTTTTTGAGGCTCTGTTTCTTCGAACGCCTTACAGATGGGCTTTTTTTGAAGGCTGATGTTGACAGGCGGGATGAATATGTTCCACAAATCGGTGGCCCAAATCTTATTTAAGTTGAATTCCATTGTATGTAGGGGTTTGGTAATTTGGTTTATGATAAATTTACAATGTTGGAAAAAAGTTTATTTTTTATCTGAGGTAGGAAAACAAATTTGATTTCTTTCAAGATTTAAACCCGAAACCTACGAAAGTCATTCACTTCCGCAAATCAGGCAATATAAACAAATTGGGTGATGAGAAAACCCCTTTCTTTGTTGATGTTTTCCTTCCTTCCCGAAATCTCAGTTCGGATTTGGATAAAAAAACAAATCGTTGAAAGTTCCATTTCAACAAAGTGGAGAAATACATTCTTTAATGTGTATTGTCGTCCATTTATCAGAATTAAGGGCGTAAAATTGAATTAATAAAGAGAAAAAAAAACCCGGAAAAACCTGTTTGGTTGCCACGTTCCCTTCTGTTTCCTTCCCCTTTGAAAGCAATATACTACAATTGACTCCTTTACCAGAGTTTTGCATGATTTATCTTTTAGTGAAATTGTGTTTCTTGCACTCTATTTTTTAAGAGTGATGCTATGGGTACTAACGGATGGGTACTAATCTGAGTACTAACTAAAGCATAGTACCCGTACTATACGTATAGTACGGGTACTATGCTTTAGTTAGTACACAGATTAGTACCCATTCATTAATACCCAAAGTATTATTCATTTTTTAAACCAATATATCAACCGCTAAAGCTTTGGCATTATGTTTACTTTTCTTTCTTTCTTGCTTTAAAAATAATCTAAATCATTGGTCTATCAATTTTTTTAGAATTATACATTATAAATGGAATTAACATTTGACAGGGCAAATGGAGCTAGCTCGGCCTCATATCTCTCTCCTTCAAAATTAAAGGTTGCCTTAATATGCCAAAATTTAATCAGTTAGCTACTAACTAGTCATCAAATCCTTAGAAAAAAAATCACCTGATTTATGGTTAGATGATAAAACTTTAGATTATTCAAAGGTGTAAGGTGTTGGATGAATCTCAAGAATTAGTTTAAGTACGTACACAGCCTAAATACACCGGTCACCATAAAAGGAAAATCCCCAGAGGACAAATGTAACTTAATGTATATTTCGTTCCTAAATTGCAGTGGTAAATGAAATTATTTTGACTGTCATTGGAGTGGATGTGAATGTGTACGGACTACGGATCTAGGATTCTAAAGTAGGACACAATGGAATGGATTCCCTCTTTTATAATTATGTGTCCTGGTGGGCCAGAGCTACAAGGCAAAACCTGAAGATTAGCTGCAGATTATCCCACCTGGCAAACTAAGGATTGATGTAGAAGCACGACATTGGATTATGGATGATAAAGGATGCTGGAAACTGGAATCTCTAGCATCAAATCAAAGAGGACAAATAAGTGGATACGTGGCAAGGGGTAGAAAAGATTGGTACGTTTAACTTTTGGCCGTGACTGTAAAGTAACACTTTCAAAACCTATCGAGATTAAGAATCCCCACAGGTTTAACAATGATCCATGAATGTGCAGCCAGCAAATGCCTTAAAACACTTGTGAGAAAGTGACACTTAGCAGCGTACGCTTGGACAAAGCCATACGAAACCTTGGACAAAGCAGAAATGTTTATATCCTTTCTCAATAATGGCATCAGAAAAGCTAATAAAACGACTGCATTATCCCTGAATCTAATGGTTCATTTACTTCATCCATAAGAAATACCGATCAAGTTTATTTCAGCAGAAACCTGTCTTATAATGCCGGGTAAAAGAGGTAGTAATGATTGACACGGGTCATTAGTCCCATAACGTTTTTTCTCTTTCAATTTTTTTTTTTTTCTTGTTCGTGAAGGCAAGGCCCCATAAATTGACACGAATGAAAGACATGGTTGGGAATTAAATAAGATTCTACACGGAATGTTGTAAACTTTTAACTCTTGTTGTTTGTTTATAATAATGTAGTTTAATTTAAATATAAGATTAAATGGATATTTTGTAGATCCTTTCAGTAATATTATAATAAAAAATATCTAACATATTCTTCTAGGAAAACCCTGTAAGTCAAGATAGTGATGTGGGGGGAAATAGATATATATGAAGCATCAATTTTAAAAAGTACTTAACCCTGCTTAAATTCTTAACCAAAGGGTTTAGTAAAGGCCGTAAGCATGTAATGTTGTTGGAAAGCCACTTGTGTTTAGATATATAACCAAAAACTTGGTGGCAAACAAAATGATTACAGTACAATACATGATTAAGACTGAAACCTCTGGCTTCGAAAAGGGTTTATCAGAATAATAGGTTCGGTGGGCAATAGCTACTAGGCCTCCAAATAAATCCTAGATATGAATTATTATCGCCATAATATTTTCCATGGGGCCCAAATGACTGTTACTTTTGTAAACAATCAAAACCCATCACCTTTATCTAATCTTAATTACTCCATTAATCTTTTTATTATAAGTTTCTGGATATGTCAATTCACAGTTTACTCTTTGTATCTTCTGCCCACTCATCTTGTTGACACAGTAACATCTCTTGCTTCTTCCATCAATTTCCATAGCTTAAAGTTAAAACCAAAAGCCCCCACAGTAATTTTTGCAACGTGTCTGCCTCTCTTTTTGGATAGGTTTAGGCTCACAATTGACATCTAAAGTTAATGAAATTCCTTAACCAAAGCACTGGAGAAAAGGATTAAAGTGTTAATCGCAAAAAAGAATGCCTTTCCATGAAGAATCAGCTATCGTTCTTATCATTAATTATCTACTGTTGTTCATTTAAACTTTTCTAATTAATTAAAACAAAATGCAATTACGAAGAACAGGCAAAAATTGCTTGTCTGACAGAGGGTCTTAAGGTCAGAAGTGAAGTGGGATTTTGTTACAGTCACAGATGAAAGTAGAAACCAACTTCTCTCTTTTTCATAAATCTATTAAGTAGCTTTTGTACAGTTAGTTCAGGGGTCACGTGATATTTCTGTGTTTCAACTAGTTTCAGCCGAACCTGAACTCTCATCAGTCTGTTCTGTTCGCAGCCATGTTAAAGAAAAGTACAGCAGCGAGCGCGTGAATTTTTAGTCTGTGTTTGTCCCTTTTTCTTTGCTTTCTTGAATAATTCATGGGTTTCATCATCCATCTCTCCATCAAACACTTTTTCTTAATTGGAAGTTCATGATTTCTCCATGTAAAGTTGTAGTCAACATGCCCAACATTCACAAGGACAAATGGGCATATGCAGAGGGGTTGATCCCAAAATAACCAAAAACCAGTGGTGGAAGCTCAAACTTGGACCTTAATTGAGACTGAATGAATGAGCTCTTTATCACTAAACCTACCCTTGGGGGAATGTCTCTTTCCTATTTCGATTCCTTGAATATGCATAATGTGTTCACATGCGTTTGCCAATTAATCCCAGAAAGGAGGAAAAATCAGTCGAAGAATTTGAAGCTCTATTATTAGCTACATATCTGTCATAATCATCAGCCACTTATATCTTATAAAGTTAATTTGTCTATTACTCTGTCAATTTCATCAGCACATGCACACAAAATTTGACCCAACCTTATAATATATATTTATTTTCCAACTTTTTTGATTATTTACTTACCTAAGCCCTTGAGTAACAAGATGGATTCAATTTTCATGATGCAATTTTTGGTTACCACCTCTCATGGTTAAGGTTACATGATGAAATTATTAACTAATGATATGTGAATACCCATGTTAGAGCTTCAATAATTTATTTACGTAATAACAAGCTATATGTTGCCGACAAAAAATAAATAAAATCCTGAAACTAAGAAAGGGTAATGGAAAGTTTTGAAATTAGTTGGCAACATAATTAGATATATAATGCAAAAGCAGCACTGAGTGATTCGTTTCTGAAATACAAATTTATTGGCAAAATGTGGAAAGAAAAAGAAAAAGAAAGAGGAAGAGGAAGAGAGGCCCCTTTGGTTGAAAAAGAAAGCATATAAATAATACGTTAATGGGCAGAGATAGAGAGACAACTTACCAAAAGAAGACAAGGTCACGCTTGGGTTTGGCAGAGCCGTTGGCGTTTGAGGTACGTCCGTCCCTTTGGTGACTGCAACCACGTGTGCTCCTCCTCCTCCTCCAGTCCATATCCATTTACCTACTCCTATTCCTATATTTCCATTTCCATTTTTTAATTTCAAATAATAAATAATAGCTTATTTTTCTACTCTATAAAAGCACAACAGGTACATATCAATCTTCAGTTTCCCATCCTAACTCCCCTTCTAAAAATAAAGACTTACTACCTTCACCTGGCTGCCTATCAATTCTTTATTTTCCCTCTATTTCCTTCCCTATCTTGTCATTATTTTCACTGAAAATCTGCCTCCGTGATCTCACTTCCCTCTCACTCCTCCTCTCCAAACAGTTACTTTTTCTTTATATCCTCTGTATTATCTCCCCCTTCGCTTTCAAAGGCGTTTCATTTTCTCTCCTACAGTTAATCCAATCCTTAATTAGATGGCTTCTTTTAATTTTAACAACGTGAAAGCTGAGAAAGCAGAAGCTATGAGAAGGTACAATCGCCAGAAAAAGTTGAAAAGTTTTCGTTTCCTTCTAGAAGTTGTCGCGGCTATGGCTTTGCTCTCATGGTCCTCTTATACTTACATCCCCGTCGCCACTGAGATGGCCAAAGATTTTCTCAGCCAACCCGTCGCTGTTTTCGATCGGTCTTTGTTCGTTTTAGTGATAGTCAACGTGCTCATTCTACTTATCTTTGTTTCCTCCTCCCAAACGCCGGAAAAATCAGATTTTTACGACGAGTACGTCAACATCACCACCAACGTCTCTCGCCGGAGCGTTCCCGCAGCCGAACAATCTCCAGAGCTGAAGGAAACAACTTTATCTGACAAACAAATCGTTTGTGTGGATAATGCGGTGAATTCTCAAGTCGATAAAAACGTTGTTCTTAATCCTTCTGTTACTGCGACGGACTCTGAACCGAAAGAAAAGCATGTGATTTCTCCAGTTCGGTGTAGTACGGTTGATGCGGTGAGTGAGCCGAAGAGGTACAGAAGGAGTCGGTCGGAGCGTTTGGAACAAGAGAAGCGGAGGGAGCTGCGGAGATCAAAGACGGTGGTGAACCGGGAAATGGTAGGAGAAAAAAGTGAACCGGCTAGGCGGTCGAGTGCCATGGATGATTTGAGCAGTGAAGAGTTTAGGATGACAATAGAGACTTTTATTGCTTCCAAGAAGAAAACTTTAATTCAAGAGAACACTCTTGATCTTAAGCTAGAAAAAAATCAGTGTGTGGCCATCACTCTGAGTGCTGTTAACTGAGAACATCTTGTTTCAAAAATAAATTACAGGATAATTACGATATGAATCGCGAGGTATGCAGATTAAAATCTCTCTCGATTTTTATGTTTTTTTCTTTTTTCCTTTTTTTCTTGTGATCGTGGAATGTACAGTGATATAATTCCCGGTTGCGAATGAATTAAAAAATGTATGCTTTTTATTTTATTTTATATAAATAATTTTCCTTTTTTCTTGGTTAATTTGTTTGGTGAAGTGTGACGTTGTGTTATATTGAGTTTAGCTGAGCTAAGAAGAGATGAGTTCAATTAGTGATATTTTCTCATGCATGTGGGTTTACTTACCGCATATTAAGATTCTGTTTCTTGGTCCTGAATATTATTATAAATTTTATTAACAGATTGCGGGATTTTGGGTATTATTATTATGGCATTGTCTTTTTGTCATGGTTTCAAATATTTGTATCTTATTGGGTTTCTGTATTCATTTCTTTGTATTTTTCATGGAGGAAGAAAAGAATTGGGCTGAAGTTTACAAGGAACGTATCGGATCTCTTTTGCTGTTGCAATTCCACCTCTGAATCCCAAACTTGATGCTAGTAATTAGGTATTAGCATTTCTTTAGCCTTAAAAAAAAATGATAAGAGAAAATATAAGGGTGTATAGAAGAAGTCCCTCTATCGTCCTTAGGCTTGAAGTCTAGATGGGGGACGAGATTCTGAGTTGGGTAAAATCAATAAAGCATTCTTTATGAGCTCCAATTGCATATATAATTGAAGACATTTTGGCAAATGCTACTAGAGAACAAAAGGTTCAGTCAATCAAGGGTTTAATATCATGATCTTGAGTTTTGTATGTTTGGAGCAATAGCCGAAGAAATTTAACTCTGCAAATTATTAAAGGACTTCAATAAAATTTACACAACTATGTTGATGCCCATATGATTTGATTGTCTCCTGATGAGCCAAAATTTGAGGCTTTTTGAAGTGCTAATAGTACGAACCCATATAATGTAGAAAAGGATCTTAAAGGTTTTTTTTAAACAAAAGTTTGTTACCTTCCTAAAGAAAAAAGGCAACTTTTGCTCATTTGAGGCACACTAAGGCACTAAATTAATATACACTATATAGAGGAATGGGGTAGCCTTTTGGATTTTAACTGGGTTTGTCATAATTACCTACACTAAACCAACAAAGTGGGTTGTTTGAGAAACTCTTTTTTAGGGCATTAGAAAGGATATTATTATATACGGTACAATATTGCAAGCCAGGAAAGGACATCTCTACCAATTCTTCTTTTTCCTGGAGGGGACCCCATTTAGTAGAAAGAAGAGGTAAAGAAAAGAAACGTGGTTAAGGGAATGGTTACATAAAACAATTGCTTTGTTGTGGGGCTTGGCCTTTCTTATTTTGTATTTCTAGTGGCTTCTTTATAACGAAGCAGCTTGCTCTTATCCACTTGTTGTGCCATTTCTGCTACAAAAGGGATAAAGAGGTTTTCTTGTTTATTATTATAAACACCCTTTTCTTTTGTTTGTATTTTCTTACCTGGCTTGGCTCCTTTCACCAACAATTCTACTACTCAATCCTCTACTTCTTCACATCATTATACCAATTATTACTCACTTTTTACACCAATTCATTTACTCATAATTTCTTCCGAATATGATTTAACTTATGAAAACAACAACCATCTTTGTCGATGTTGTATGGCGACTAAAGACTCCTGTTTTTCCGAGAAGCTGTTTAAAGTCCAATTTGAATTGATATAAATATATATATATATATATATATATTACTTTAATACAAGAGTAATAATAACACAATTATAAATGCGTTAAAGTGGAAAGATAAACAAATACATATATTATACACTAATTGTCAAAATGTTTGAGCAATAATTGCTTCAATACTTGACCATCAGAATCCTCGTTTGATTTAGCTGTCTGATCACCAAGGGAGGAAGAAAAAACTTCCAGTGTTTATCTTTGGCTCTGTTCATAAAAAAAACCCAGAAAATGTTCCTGTTTCTATGTTACGTGCCTAGGAAAAATCCTTTCTTAACGGTCCAGATTTTAGAGAGTAAAATTACTTTGGGTTGGTGACAATTAAAGAGGACAAGAATGAAATTTAAAAAAAGAATGTGATTGGTGAAGTCAACATCATATTCAGTAGATTAAGTTTTTAGAGAGAAAAAAGTAGAATTTGTGTTCCAACAAACCTTATTCAAATTAAACTTTAGTCTCCAAACCCCACAATTGATGATTAAGATAATCAGCCGTTGAGTATTATTATTCACTTTTTCAGTGTCAACAAATAATATATTAATAGAAAAAAAACCCGATTAAATGCTATAGCCTAAAGCCGACGCTGCCTCATCCCATTTTTAAAAACATGATGAACAGGGGTACCAGCAATGTGACAGACGGTTAAGTTGATGATGAAGTGATAGGAGAGCTTCCTTTAATAAATTTGGAACAAAGTCATCTATTAATCTACTTGCTCTTAAAAATATATCTAGTAATCTCCAAAAATTAATAAGTTATTGCAATTTGAAGCACCCCTGAATAATCCAACTCAGAATCGTCAGTCGTCACTTTATTAAACTGGAGCTTTCGAATTAATCTGTCAAGGACTTACCTAATGAAGCCAGTTGATCAGAAGACAACTAAAGCAAGGCGTTAAAAATTCTTAGCATAAAAGTAACAGAGCCATCTATTACATTGCCAAAAGCAGTTGAAACAAGTTTTTACAATTACACTCGTCAAACAAGTAATGAAAAGTGAAAACCTACTGCATTATAAAAAGCAGAAAGCCAATGAAGATAAGGAAAAATGAAAAAGTTGGACGTGTGGCAGATACCTAACTTTGACACTATTATATTACAATTAGCGATTATTTGTATTAAATTGGGGTTTAATATTAGTATAAGGTAGGGATTTTGATCCATAATTTTGGCTGTGGTTGAGGAGACATTAGCTTTCAAAGATCAAGGCTGAAGGTGAAGGGCTTGGCATTGATCAAACATGCTTGCTGCCTTCCAAGAAAACAATAATAGGATTAAACAGATACCATACACTTGCTGAAACTGTAACGAATTTCAACAGGGAATCTTGAGAAAAGATTAATAATAATAATGTTTTTACATTCTCTTAATTAGTACTATTGTCTTATACTTGCAATGATAAATTTAATATCGGGTAGAGCCAAACCAAATACCTTATAATTCTAAATTAAAACTACCCGACTACTTTTGACCTTGGCCTTTACCATTTATACATGTCACAGTTCCAGACCAAACTCAATACAATGACTGGTAAGAATTAGGTAAAACCCTGCCTAATCCCAGCCTTAACTACCCAATAATCTATGCACTGAAAATCCTTAATTGTCAATCATCCCTTTTGAGTGGCTTAAACCAACAAAATTCTTTTGAATTCCGTATATATGAAAGGTGCCACGGAATTTTGTTTATAGTTATAAAGTCGCTTAATTTGTCGTAATACGTGTCACCTGTATTGGACAGCCGCTCTTTAATCTTGAAAAAAGTGTCCACTTCTCAATACTTGAATCAGAATCAATCACCTCCCACCTGAAAAAATTCAGGTTTGCAAGTGAACCCAGTTAATTATTGTGGTCAGTATTGAATTCCGTAAGATTAGAGAAATAAAACTCACTTGTAAGTGGTGATAAGCCGGTGAAGGAAGACTAGCATCATGGCCTTAGCCATGTTCATTCCCAGGCATGTCCTCCCTCCCATTCCAAAAGCTAAGAAACTGTATGGTTTTGACTCATCCTGCGTTCAACAATTTATTAGGGTGACTTGTTTTTTTTTTTTGACACATTTTTCAGGTTCAGAACTAGGTTTTGCTTGTAATTGGAACAATCACTGGGTTTGAAACAAAGAGACTTACATCAAACCTTGAAGGATTGAACTCGTTGGGATCATTGTAGTTAATAGGATCAAGGTGTATTGATCTAGCATCAACATTAACAGTCCACCCTTTCCTTATCTTATATCCTATTTGTTGGGGCAAAAATGTAGAACCAAAATAAACATCAATAGAATCAAAGTTCTCTCTAGAATACATATATAATCAGAAAACATTTTTAAGTGAACTATGATGTATAAGACTTACCTTCTATCTCACAATCCTGGAGTGCTTGTCTCGGAAACCATGGTACTATAGCTGCCATTCTTAAGGATTCCTTAACTACCTATTACCATTATTTACTAGTTAAATTTCAAATACATTTTGTGATAACCGAAAAGAAAATCCTGATGCATTAATTGTTGTTGCATATATAAAATCTACCTTAGAAGCATATGGCATCTGGTTAAGATCTTCCAGAGTAAGAAATGACTTTGATGATCTTTTTTCTACAAGGTGAAGTTGTTCAGCCTGCTCAAAAGATATATTGACAAGCGTAAATGCATGTTTTCTCACACAATTTTCTTCTAGCGAACATAATATTAATGTAAAATGGGGGCAAATATGGTCTAACCTTAAGTGTGTTTAAGACCTTCTGGTCTTCACCCAGGTACTTGACCATCCATGTGATTGCACTTGCTGTCGTATCTTGACCTGCCAATTATATTTACTAAGAATAGTTAACAGGAATTTAATTATAGTTTCATTACACCAAGGCAACAACATTATTCCTATCAATCTTTGATATAAGCTGACCTGCAATTATCATGGTCAAAATGTTATCTTGTATCTCTGCATCTGTTAGTCTCAGGGTTTCATCATCCTCTGTCAAAAGGTACTGCAGAAAATCTTCATGATTGGCTTCTAAGCCTCTTCTCCTTAGAGTAATCATTTTCTCCAATGTCCTCATAATTCTTTTTCGCGCCTGAATAATCATTTAAAGTTATGTCAATTAATTATTTTTGTTGGTTCTATTGAGACTGAGTGACGGAGGTGACGTAATCCACCTTCATCACTTAAGCATTCTGTGACCAGCCCAATGATGTTTGGGGTACAGCTTATGTGTAAATAGTGGGTTTAGTAGTTAAAATACCTCAAGGCCTTTGTAGAATCTGGTCCAGGGTAACTTAAGAGGGAATGCTAGCATCGCTTCATAAACGTATGCTACATCCTTCTCCAGCGTCTCTAGTTCTTCTCCACTCTCTATTTTCATCAACATTTTGCACATTGCTCCAAAAGTTATCTGCATTAATTTCAATACAAAAATCAATAAACGCAAACTTTGATCTGGGTTACCAAATAGTATTAGACCTAAAGGGGTATAGGCCTCGATATGGGTCGGAGGCCTCAGCCAGTCGGCCTAAATGGTCTTTAATTTATGTTTAGTTAAACAAACCTTTAGAACTTCATTCAGAACCACCACTGTGCCTCTATGTTCCCAAGCTTGAAGAGTTCCCATGATCAGTTCATCAAACTGTTTGATAAGCAAAGATATAGAACTTGACGAGAACAAGTTAGTCAAACGACTACGAATCAATTTATGCTGTTGGGGAGAAGCACATAGCAGGCTTTGATCCCCCACAAGTTCAGCAATTGACCTTATGTATCCCTTTGTGAATTTCCCCAAGTCATTGTTTAGGATCACCTTTGCTGACTCAGTGCTTGAAACAAATACATTAGTCTTCCCAAATATGTTCGTCTTAAAACAATTCCCATACCTGTCCAATTAGATTCAAGTAGCTCAATTCTGTTAAGTGCATTACTTTATAATTATTTTACATTTAATACGAAAGATTCTTTTACCTAATACGACGAACTCGAACAAAGTCATAGAAGCCTTTGCCACTGTTAATAGCTGCCATGAATTGCATGGTCTCTCCGATCAACGGTAACCCTTGACTACCTGGGGGAATATTAGCCGTTGATTCTATATTACGGTAGCGCCGAATCAAGATTATCAAGCTTCCAACAAGAAGCACCGCGTAGAAACAGAGGCAAGGATATTCGTGAAGCGTAAGGAGATGCATTTTCGATTTACTGAACTAATTTGCGTAATTCAACTTATAAAGAGAGGCAACAAATGATTAAAGAAAAAGACACGTGTACGGTTTAGAAAACGATGTTGGTATTTTGGGCTACAGGGTCTCTTCATCATATGGGATTTGAAAGAATGTTTCCCACTTGCCTTTCCTCAGTGGGCATCAACGGTTGAAGGACTCAACTCATTGGTTTCCTTGAATACGTCACTCGTTCCATTAGTGACTTCCAATTCCATCGGCTATCTTTCTTCTTCGAATTTTAAAATAACTTCACACTCATATGCAATCGTTTGAACCTTGAAATTAGGATTTCAGTGATTCATATACGTTAATAATTTCTGTATTGGCAATACTCTGAATATTAAGAAATTATTTGACGAATGTGTTGGAGTCGTTGATCACTTCAACAATATCGGATCACACAAACGTATTTGGTGGTCTATTTCATAAAGAATCATTGAAGGATTTCTCTAAATAATTAATTTCTAGTTGGGTTTAAGCTTCTAGATAATATTATGTTTTACTCTTTAAACTTGTATATAAATTTATTTTTCTAAATTATAGGACAAATTACACTTATTGTACAATGAGATGTAAGACAGTATTTCAATAATATTGACTCTACTAATCGTAGCCTATTAATTGGGTGAACCAGGTAAATTGTATATATTATTCTTTCTCTTTATTTGTGTGTTTACTATTTTGGTTTTCGTAGTACTCTAAATTATTTTAATATGGTTGATATTATTATGCATGGACAACTTATATAAGATTCACCAACACAGATATTATTATTTAAATCCGATGTCAGTTACAGGCTTATAGTGATAATTGGTAAATGGGCAATGCTAGTTTTACAAAGACACATACAAAAGGGGTATACAAAGACAATCCCCACCCTTGATTTTCATGATTTCTCTCTCTCTCTCGTTTTCTATTTTTTCTATGTTTTTTTCTTCTTGTTGACGTCACTTCGTAACCCTCTTTGTATAGGTCTTTGTAAGGATAACATTTTTCATGCTAAATTCACCCATTAGCAAGGAAGATATTGTTATAGATGCTTCCCATCTCTCATTTATTTGTTTCAATCCTTTATGATAACGGAAATGACTAAATTAATGTACTTGGCTTGAGTCTTCGACAAGTAATCGCCCACCGTCTGAGCATACCTTCGAAATAACTCGTCCAATATGTGATTTCCGAAATGATGCGCCACCATTGATTCCACTACGGCTCTTATAGTCTTTGCTACTCGCTGACCTCTTGACAGTGCTCCCAATGTGTTATTTACGTCTTCATCAACACCTCCATCCCAATCAATTTCAAACGCTTCAAGGCGATCAATAATGAATGACCCTACCTTTTCTACTTCCAATTTAAGTTCTTCGGGGCATGGAGCATAGTAAGGAGCGTTGAACGAATCAACTTTTTCCTCTTCAATCAGACCATGCAACCACAAATCAAGATGATCGCAAAAGCTAGTTCATATTGCATGCACATTATACTAAATCCTGATCATGATGTTGATTACCTCTGAAACCATGCTCATTAGTGCATGTGCTAAGAGCTCCCAGTGGTAGCAGCTCTCTTCTGTGGTGGGATCAGAAGTTCTCCTTCCCATGAACGACAAAACCATTCGGCCTCCAGAAAGTATTTCTTCTCCACGTAATTTAAGAAAGAGAGAAAAGTCATTTTGGTACTGCATCGAGTACGCATCCAACACGCACCATTGTTGTGTATTCATCTTGAAAATAAAACTAGACTGTAGTGAAGAATTAGAAAATCCTCCTCCGAAAAGATAGATGAGCATGAACATGATCAACAAAAAATTGCTGCTCCCCCTGCAAAACTAATTGTGTTTAACTCTCTTTCGACTCTATTACAAACTCTAATCGTATTGGCTGGACTTGTAATAGACCAGAGTGAGCTTTTGACTGACCTCTTTGTGCCTGGAATATGGAGCTCTGTCTACATTTTACTGCTTGGGCATTTTATTCTTTCTTGGTGTTTAGTTCGAAACTACGCCTCTTTGATGAAGATGGGCCGTTGGTTTTGGAGGCTCTGTTTCTTCGAACACCTTACAGGTGGGCTTTTTTTAAGGCTGATGTTGACAGGCACGATGAATATGTTCCACTAATCCGTGGCCCAAATCTTATTTAAGTTGAATTCCATTAAATTAAGAACATCAGGAAAAAAGAGAAAAATCCTTAAATACTTTCCATTGTATTTAAGGGTTTGGTTTATGATAAATTTACAATGCTGGAAAAAAGTTTATTTTTTATGTGAGGTAAGAAAACAAATTTGATATCTTCAAGATTTAAACCCGAAACCCTACGAAAGTCATTCACTTCCTCAAATCAAGCAATATAAACAAATTCTTTGCTGTTGTTTTCACTTGGACAAAGCCATACGAAACCTTGTACAAAGTAGAAATCAAATGTTTATATCCTTTCTCAATAATGCATCAGAAAAGCTAATAAAACGATTGCATTATCTCTGAATCTAATGGGTTGTAGTTACTAATTTGTTGACGTGGTTCATTTACTTTGTCCATAAGAAATACCGATCAGTAGAACCAGTCTTATAATGCATATAAATTGCCGGGTAAAAGAAGTAGTGAGTCCAATAGCTTTTCTTTTTTCTCTTTCAATTTGTATTTTTTGTTTGTGAAGGCAAGGCCCTTAAATTGACACAAATTAATCAAGACATAGTTGAGAATTAAATAAGATTTTATTAATTGAAGCAGTATATTTACATGGAATGTTTGTTTATAATAATGTACTTTAATTTATATTAGATTAAATGATATAGGATCCTTTCAGTATTAATATATAACATAATCTTCTAGAAAAACCCTGTAAGTCAAGATAGTGATTTGTGGGGGCAAAAAAATAATAAACAAAACAACAGATATAAATGAAGCATTAATTTTTAAGTACTAAATTCTTAACCAAAGGTTTTAGTCAAGGTAGCAACTGTAAGCATTTAACGTTGTTGGAAAGCCACTTGCGTTTAGAAATGTAAGCACAACAACCATGTGGTCCTTTTAAAGTCGGCGGCAAACAATATGATAAGTGATAACAAATTTACAATACATGATTAAGACTCAAGCCTCTGGCTTCGTTAAGGGTTTATCAGAATAATAGGTTGGGTACGTAGGCAATAGATACGACTCCAAATAAATCCTAGATATGAATTATTTTATCCGCCTTTTTATTTTTCCATGGGGTGTAACTTTTGTAACCAAACTAAAATTTTAACAATCAAAACATCAGCTTTACTTAATCTTAATTACTCCATTACTCATCATCTTCTAAATTATGCTAATATTTTTATTATAAGCTTCTGGATATGTCAATTTACAGTTTACTCTTTCTATCTTCTGCCCACTCATCTTATTGACATAGTAACATCTCTTGCTTATTCCATCAATTTCCATAGCTTAAATTTAAAACTAAAGCCCCCGCAGTAATTTTTGCAACGTGACTGCCTCTCTTTTTGGATAGGTTTAGACTAACAATTGACATCTAAAGTTAAAGAATTTCCTTAACCAAAGCATTGGAAAAAAGAATGTCTTTAAGAAGACATTTTCCCACCCAAGGTTTGGCAAATTTACAATTCCCACTCTTGGTTTAATAAATTGTAAATTCCCACCCTTAAATTAACACCATTACTTTTCTCTCAAAATAACTCTTACATCTCAAATTTTTCTCAAATAACACTCAGAGGATCTCGACTAAGCCAAAAATCCGGCCTGATTCCGACACTATCATTGCATCCCCTTATCCTCCTCACCAAAATCACTCACTTTTCCACCAAATTGCACCTCGGTGAGGTGTCGAAATTTGCCTAGAAAGGTGCGATAAAACGCTAAAACCTAAGGGACAGGCGACGACAATCGGCAGACAATTGCGGTTGGTGATGTTGGGGGTTTTGATGGGAGGAAACCGGTGATGCTATTGGTGGTGTTGCGGGTGGTTTCCAGCACCGAGACTTGTCGAAATTTGGATAAAACGTCGACTGAAACTAAGAGCAGCGACCGACGATTAAGAGGTTAAATCAAGTTTTGATGTGGGGGTTGGGGGAATTATAATAGTGGCATGGAGAGAGGTCGACTGTGCCGAGAACACGTCGGAATGGTTTGAAATCGCCGACGGGATAAATTTGAGAAGTCAAGGGTTATTTTAAAATTTTTATCTTTGAAATGACTATTTTATCTGTTTAACTATTAGATTAAACAGTTTTTTGTTAATTTAATAGTGAAAATCTGCAATTTATGAAATAGGGGTGGGAATTGTAGATTCGCCAAACCTTGGGTGGGAAGATGTCGTTTACTCTTCCATGAAATACGAAACAGAAAAGAGGATTAATGGTCAGCTGTCGTTCTCATCATTAACTATTAATTTATATCTTAGAATGTTAATTTGACTGTTACTCTTTTAATTTCCAATTTTCCACAGCACATGCACAGAAGATCTGACCCAACATTATAATATATATTTATTTTCCAACCTTTTTGGTTGACCCAACATTATAATATATATTTATTTTCCAACCTTTTTGGTTATTTACTTACCTAAGCCCTACAGTAACAAGATGGATTCAATTTTCATTATGCAATTTTTGGTTGCCAGTCAAGGCACTGCCAAATTCAGTAATTCACTCAGACCATTTAATTAAGGTTGTTTTGTTATTAACTAATGATATGTGAGTACCAAATTAATTAATATTAATGAACATGTTACAGCTTCAACTAAGTATATGACAATGTTGCTTCAACAAAAAATATTATGTTCGAGAACCTGTTTTGTCTTTTTCTTCTGTCAATCTTCACTCTTCACTTCCCATCCTAACTGCCCTTTGGTTGAAAAACAAAACATATGAAAAAGGCACTAATGGGCAATGAAAGAGAGACAAACTACCAAAAGAAGACAAAGGTTGCGGTTGGACGTGGCAGAGCCGTTGGCGTTTGAGGAACGTCTTCCCTTTGGTTAGTCGGTGAATTCAAACACGTGCGCTTCTCCTCCCCCTTGTCCTTTTACTTGCTCCTATAATTCCACTAGTCATATGTATGTTCATCTTTTACTTGCTCCTGTAATTCCACTACGTTTTACTAGTCATGTGGCATGATGTATGTTCATCTTTTACTATTCCACTAGTCATGGGGCCCGATATATATTCATTCAATGTTTTACTAGTCATGGGGCATGATGTATGTTCATCTCTTACTATTCCACTAGTCATGGGGGCCAATGTATGTTCATTCAATGTTTTACTAGTTATGGGGCCCGATGTATGTTCATTCAATGTTTTACTAGTCATGGGGCATGATGTATGTTCATCTTTTACTTGCTCATGTAATTCCACTAGTCATGGGTATCGATGTATGTTCATTTAATGTTTATGATATAGATGGTAAACAAATTTATTCTAATAAAATAGACTAATTAGATTAAGATATAATAATAATTCAATTATACAAATTTTAAAGTAAATATAAATTTTTTATATATGCAAAGTTATGTTAAGATAAAATTAATAATTGTACTTGTATAATTATTAATATCAATTATAAGTAGATGTCATTAAATCATTCATCTAACTTGAGAAGATCACCTGAATATTATATGATTTAATTATATTTTCAGGATCATCATCTAGTACAATTGATATTATTTTTGCAGACATGTCTTTGATATTCAATATCAATATTTTGTAGTGAATCGTGTATGATATTTAAGATCACCTGAATATTATTAAGATTAACAATTTAAACTTAAAATTTATATTGACCTTCTGCAATTTATATTCATTTTCAAGTTGCATTGCTCAGGTATGTTTATTATATATATATATTTTTTTTACATTATTATCGGTTTTTTGTGTTTTAAATATATATTTTCTATATTGAAGTTCATTTTATATTGAATTGATAATTAAAAAATCAGTAAATAAAATATCCACAAATTGAACTCAAAGTCTATATCATCATGATTCTTCTCAAATATGTCACCATTTGAAAAATGCAACCAAAGTTTAAAACTTTGTCAAGAAAAGCAAAAAAATTTGTAGGATAACTCACTGGACACTATTGATAAGTCTATAAATCAATCAGAGAAAGAGAACCCTTGTTAAAAAATGTGAACTTTTAAGCAAGAGACTTGTAGAGCCAAAGAAAAAAAAACTGATTTTGATTGTTGAGAAGAAAAAATGAATTATTTTTATTATTATTATTTTAGAAATTAAAAAAAATTAAGGATGTTGAGAAGAGAAATCACATAGAAAGCAACAACAACTGCAATAGTATAATCTAAAGGCAACTTAATTGAAGAATTGAAGAAGTCATAAAGATAAAGGTCCTATGATATAATTTTATTTGCTGCAATTAGAATTAACCACCACCTATAGCCAAAAAAACATTTGATGATAGCATCCTAAAGAAAGACGATAATTATAAAACCCACAGAATCCACAAATCAAACAACAAAATCAATCAAAAAATCAACAAAAAGAGGTAGAACAAATACAATTAAAACTACATATGAATATTTGTTTTCCTTTGTCATCATTAAAATTGAATTTGTTTTATGTGTGTGATGATAAAATAAATGGTTCGGTAGCAAATCTATAGTTATCCTAATTCATCTTATAATATATCAAATTAAATCTCTATCTTTCTAGTTTCCAAAGATTCAAACCGTTCAT